GATATGGGCATAAATAATGAATTGGCAGCTCCTGCAGAAATCGGATATTACATTTAATATCGTTATACTAATTATATTAAGGTATTTTGGTGTGAAATGACAATAAAAAAAACCCTGGATTATTGGTCCCAGAAATACAAATCTAATTATTTTCAGGGATATTTCCTAAAAGCATAGAGTATCATAGGGAGAAAGAGTCAGGGAAAGAGCAGAAGATAAGCAGGAGAATAGAAAGAAGAAGAGCACGATATGGATGTGGTTTTGTTCATGGCAAATATATCTGCCCCCATTTTAGTGCATGATGAAATAGAGCTTCACCTACACATTCACACTAGCAGATGCATGCCCATTTTCCACTTCAGGTTTCCCATGGAGCGGGTCAAAACCTTATTTGTTATAAAATGCTTTTTGTATTCCGATTTAGAACAAATATTTCTGGAAGAGAAGTAGGGGATTGTTATTTCATTATGTGAATGAGAGGAGCATATGTTGGAGATAAAGATGGAAAAGAAAGAGAGAGAGAAAATATATATCCAAAAGAAAAAGAGTATTCATAAGTCAGGCAGTTATCATTCCAAGCATTGTGTATATATAATTATCTGATACTTTTATTATGCTGTTGGCGGTTTATATATCTGTTACTCAGAATTTGATTTTATTTAGTTTGCAGGTTAGCAGTGAAGTTCCATTTATTGTTTCCCAATAAAGAATATATTCCTAAAACAGTAACACATAAGCAGTCCCAAAGCTTGTCAACCATATTATCATGTCCTAGCTGTTTTTACTTCCCTTATGTCCTGAGATGAATGCATTTTACCTTCTTCAAGCTTAAAATATGTTGAAGTTTTTAGGAATACTCTCTCCTGTGATTACTGTTGAATTTTGAATCATATTCAGATATTGCTTGGATATTTGTTGTAATGTTCAAGATAGGATTATTTATAGTTAACTATATATAGATTGCTTACATAGATATCTGTAAATTGTAAATCACTTCAGAGTTTGCAGATGTTATAATGCTCATGATTTTTTTGCTTTTTTATATAATAACTAGAATTGATATATTATGTATTATGTACTTCTTCATTTACATTTTGCAGTGACATGATACATTTGTATGTGAAATAGAAATTTCCTTCTCTTATTATCAAATTGTTCATTTTCCCATTGTAAAAAGGTGTAAAAAAGTACAATGCATGGATTCTTACAACTAATGGGGAACAGTACATTTAGCATGAATATTTAAGGTCATCATTGCATGTAAATACTAATGTGTTCTGGTAAAAAGATTATGTATATTGTAAAATGTTATTACAAAAAGTAAATTTAATGTTTTCTTTGAAAGGCTGGAGATATTAGTCAGTCATCTAATATTTGCATTTTCTCAGAAGACTTGTTTTTAAGAATCTCTATGTTATACTTTATATACCAGTTTTTTAATATAAACATTTCAAAATTATTGGTTGATAATTAAAGAATTGTTTTTGTGTATAGTTTATTTCAAATCTTTAATTTGATGATATTTCCATTGAATAATGAAGATTAGAAATTGTGTTTGGAAATTTGAAATGAAAATGAAAATGAAATAGATACATTTTGAAAGTATGAAGTATAAGTATAAAAAGTTTTGATAAATCATATTGCTCAAAATGGCCTAATTCAGTGTTTGTTTCTGGAGTATTCCAGAAGCTAAGGATATTTGCTTTAACTTCTCTGCACAATCCTTAAAAAATGAAGTAATAATGAATTTTATTTGACAATGCATGCATTCAACACCAGGCACTCCAGACAACTTCCAAACTTTTCACAAAATGGTCTTGCATAAAACAAACAAAAAACAAAAGAAACCTTTGTTTCTTTTTGCAAAGTGAGAGAGAGAAAAGATTTTTATGTGAAAACCCATAACAAAAGACAACAACACAAACGACTGTGACTTTGCAGAAAGTTTTGATTGGTTTAATATGCTGTCTTTCAGAACGATCTGAGTGGATTGAAGAATCTTTGGCTGGATGTGAGTAGTTTCCTGCCATATGTGTAAAGAGTCTTAGGGATGAGTGGTTCCTCTGCCTCTGTAGGGTGAGGTGTTACTGTCATTGATGGAGCTTTTTAGACTGTTTGTTTTTAAAGACATATGTGTATATGTACCTACACACACACAAGCACATGCAAATGTACACACCCAGGCTAAAACACACACACACACACACACACACACACACACACACACACACACACACACACACACACACACACACACACACACACACACACACAACACACAATTGTACACTTGTAGACACACAAGTACACCGTAGACACGTGTACACTCGTAGACACACTCGTAGACACACATCGTAGACACACACACTTAGACACACACACTCGTAGACACACACACACACACCACGTACACACATGTACACCACACTCACACACACACACACACACACACACACACACACACACACACACACACACACACACACACACACACACACATGCACACACACACACACACACACACACACACACACACACACACACACACACACACACTTGTAGCCACACACATACTCCCGTAGACACATGTACACTCGTAGACACAAGTACACTCGTAGACACATGTGCACTCGTAGATACGTGCACTCGTAGACACATGTACACTTGTAGACACATGTACACTCATAGACACATGTACACTTGTAAGCACACACCCACCCACTCACTCACTCACTCACTCACTCACTCACTCACTCACTCACTCACTCACTCACTCACTCACTCACTCACTCACTCACTCACTCACTCACTCACTCACACACACACACACACACACACACACACACACACCACACACACACACACACACACACACACACACACACACACACACACACACACACACACACACACACCACACACTCACACACACTCACATGTACACGTACACACACGTACACAGACACACATATACTTGCACACACACACAACACACACACACACACACACACACACACACACACACACACACACACACACACACACACACACACACACACACACACACACACACACACACACACACAACACACACACACACACACACACACACACACACACACACCACACACACACACACACACACACACACACACACACACACACACACACACACACACACACACACACACACACACACACACACACACACACACACACACACACACATACAGAGACACACCCACACACACATACACATATATGTTATTTAGCACCAAAAAGGTGATAAATAAACTAGATTTAGCTTCTGTGAATTGGATTTATCTGTGTGGGTAATAGAAAACCACAGGGCAGATTGCTGTGTCACCCATTGACATCAACAGAAAGTCATTGCTAATTTCTCTTCGCCTTCTTTGTAATGCAATGGGGAATGTAGACCACTACTCATTCTTTGCTGCTGTAGTTGAGGATATTGGGAAGATTTTGGTATCTCCTCAAAATGTGTTTTGTGCGTGTTTTTATTACGATTACTTTTTTTTTCTTCTTCTTTTGATTGTTGTCCTTTAGTTATGATATTATAAGGTAATGTATAAAGTTTTCTTTGATATGTTTAAATTGAGCCTTTTTTACACACATATAGTTTTCATTTCTTTTTTTTGACAATAAAGGCCCCATCATGCTAGCACATTTTCTGTCAACTTTTGCTTTTCCATCTAAATTTGAGGTTTTCCATGAGTATCGTTTGCAAACGGAACACCTCCCAGTCAAAGATGGTCGTGACCATTTTTGTCTGACTAATATCTGTCTAGATTTTGTGCTACAGAGGATCTATACGGCTAGAATATTTTTTTATTAACCCACTAGCGCCGGTATATTTTGAAGCCGAAAATAATAGTTTCCAGGTGGCTTAAAAATCGGCTTGCAGGGCTGGCCCGGAATCTGCCCGTGCGCCAGGCACGGCTTGCGATGGAATCGGAGTGCAAGCTCCAATCCAGCATGACACCGACGGGATGCCGGGCAAAGTTTATTTTTCCGGGTGTCTCATATGTGGGACACCCATCGTAAATGGTTAATAAAATAGATAGAATGAGTGAATGTAAACATAAGTAAATATATTAGAACATTCATATATATAATATGCATAATCATATTTCTTTAAAATAATGTGATATGTATAAGAACGTTTGTGTGATACCGGAGACCTCACTCTGTTTGTTTGTTTACATAGGTAATGTTATTTGCCTTGGTAGTATGATAGGGTCAGTCCATTTCTATTTGAAAAATTCATTTGGAAGCACAAAAATTGATGGAAAAAGTACTAGTGTGATAGGGCCTTGAGTCTTATACTTTGTCAGACATTTACTCACAAACACAAACACAAACCTACATGTGTACCAACCCCCATCCCTATAAAGCCCACTGCCCACCACCCACCATCCACCACTTATCACTGATCACTATCATGTACAACTTTACCCCTTTGATCCGGCTGCTTCACAACAATGATGTGGCCCAAAATACAAGGTTTATGACTGGTGCGCGGCTTGTAGGCTGAGTGCACACAAACACTTGTGTCCAGTGACAAGACTCTATGCCTCCCCTTTACAGTGTTATTTTCTCTTTTTGTGCATAAGCTCTTTTAGCTTTAATGGATTTGTCAATGTCCATATTTGTCATTTGATTTCCTTTACCCAGATGGTAATGGACTATTTTCCTTGCACAGACTCCATCTCTCTAGGTTGTCCATAATGATAAAGATAAGTAACATTTTGTTATTTGTGTACTTTTAATTTTTTTTTCATAATATCTCATTTTCACGGCAGCCAGGAATAGGATGCTGAGCATAGAAATGGCATCACAGACTTTAAGCTTCACACTCGTTTATTGCTGGAAATAATGCAAAAACCCTCTCTAAACACCAAATGAGTCTAATCTCCCTCCCTTCCTGTCATCCATCCATCAGCTGAAATGCTCATAATAGCAAGTTTGCCCTCAAGACAAATTTTTTCATGATCACACCATCTGGAACATAGTGGTTAATACCTACCTCCTACTTCGTACTACTCATCACCTGCTACCCTCCTAGAATATACCGTCTGCTCTCTGACATAACCCACCACCTGCTTCTTACTATATATCACCTACCACGTAATATCTTCCACCTACCACCCATCAGCTATCCACAACCTGCTACCCACCTGGCATCTGTTATCTACAATCTATCATAACCCATCACCTACCATCTACAATCTCTTACCTACTTCCTGCTTCCAGTCTAACTGATATTATATATATCTGCCATGTACCGTCCTCCCTCTCCCTCCCTGCCTCCTTCCCTTCCTCCCTCTCCCTCCCTCTCCCTCCCTCTCTTCCATCCCTCCTCCCCCTCAATCCCTCTCTCTCCTCACTCCCATCCTCCCTCCCTTTTTTTCCCCTTCCCTCTCCTTTTTTCTTTTTCTCTCCCTCTCTTCCTATCACTCATTGTTTCTTCATTGCTCTCCTTTCCTCTCCTCCCTCTCTCCTCTCCTCTCTTTCTCTTTCCTCTTTCCTCTCTTCTTCTCTCCCTCCTCTCTCCTCTTCTTCCTTTTCCCCTCTCTCTCTCTCTCTCTCTCTCTCTCTCTCTCCTCTCTCCTCTCTCTCTCTCTCTCTCTCTCTCTCTCTTCTCTCTCTCTCTCTCTCTCTCTCTCTCTCTCTCTCTCTCTCTCTCTCTCTCTCTCTCTCTCTCTCTCTCTCTCTCTCTCTCCTCTCTCTCTCTCTCTCTCTCTCTCTCACTCTCTCACTCTCTCTCTCTCTCTCTCTCTCTCTCTCTCTCTCTCTCTCTCTCTCTCTCTCTCTCTCTCTCTCTCTCTCTCTCTCTCTCTCTCTCTCTCTCTCTCTCTCTCTCTCTCTCTCTCTCTCTCTCTCTCTCTCTCTCTCTCTCTCTCTCTCTCTCTCTCTCTCTCTCTCTCTTCTCTTGTATAGTATTATAGTAAAATCTGATATTCATTATATTTTTGAATATGCCTAATTAGTGTCAAAGAAGGCGATACCATGATCTTTCCAAGCAAAGTGTGGCTAGTACATTACTGACCTCAACTACAAGGAAGTATTTCCATGCTACCTTGTTTTTACAAGTATGAGGATCTGGTCTCTAGAAAGTGTGCTGTCATGCTTTACCTGAAGCAGATGCCAAGGCAATAAAGGGAGCTGCTTTTCCATGCTCATTTAATGTCTAGGTTTTTTTCTTCTTTGTCTTTTTCTCTCTGCTTTTTATTTTAAATTCTATTGTATTTTGATTTTTGACTTTTGTCATTAAGAGGTGTTTGTTTTTTACCCAATGTTTCTGATGGTTGAGATGAGCTGTGTTAGAGATTTTTTTTTTCACAAGGAATTATCTTCAGAGAATGAGGAAAGCATATGGCCAGAATATTTGAGGATGTAATATGTGCAGTAGTTGACAAAAGAAAAATAAATTATGGTTTCAGGCATAAGCCTGATTGCCAGTAGCACTCACTCTCTTTTTTGCATGGTAGAAGCATAGTAGTGTACTTTCTGCTTGATAGGTCAGTCACTTGTCATTTTAGTATGCTTGGCCTCTAAAAGCATGTATAATTTTTGCAGAGTTTTTTTTTTTTGGATGCATTTATCTTTCATCCTTTTATTTTCCACCTTTATGAGTGAGAAAATAATTATGGTATAGTTATTTTTTATATAATGTACACTACTCTTTGTATTGTTGATAGATACCTATATAATTTGATAGGTAGATGAAGAGATATATGGATGGACGGAAAGATAGTTAGATATTTATTCCTTTATTTATTGATTGGGTATGTTTTGATAATAGCAAATATACCCAGTATTATTTTATCTCTTATGTAGATATATCACTTGAGAATGGAACATTTAGTTAAATACTGACATGAGGATATAATTTGCATCTTTGCATTGGTACTGTCTGATGTTTGATCATGTTAATGCATTGTTTTTATACATAGATTTTTTTCATCCTCAGGTTATTTATGTTTTTTGCCGTAGCCACTAAAAATCAAGTGTAATACACAGGCATGCACTAGACCAGCAGTTATGCTTTCTTATCTTTCTTATTTGTTATATATTGGTTTTAGAATTATACATGTATTTTGCTTTTGGGTTATGCATTATATCCCCCTATTGTTTTGAAGAATATTTTTCTTTTTATTGGGGAATTGTTAATGGGTAAATATTCTTTCCAGCCTCTGCTTCAGGTGAGATGGCATATCACATGTACTTCCCTCCATAATATCCTTTACTTTCCCTGTATATCTTTTAATATCTGTTCTTTAGGCTGCACAGTAAGGTAAATTTCTTTGGATTTAGTTCACTTTTCTTGTCACTGCCATCATCATGAATTTTTAGTACTGTAAATATTTTGTGTAAGTTTTAGTGTTACAGTAGACTTGAAAATTCTTTTGATTTCGTCAAAAGCCTTTTATTTGTATATTACTTCCTAATGTAGTAATCATGTTAACCCTTTACCATCCAAGAGTGAATTCACCAAGCAAATTTTTTTTCCAGTTACAGCATATTGTTTATGTTCAGAATTTTTCATCTCTGAAAATGCTTTTAGGGGAAGCCTATATGTATAATAGTCTTATGAATGTAGGTGATAAATTCATCCTTCCAGCTAGTAAAGACCTCATTGATTTTCTTTTTTATGTTATGTATGTATAGAAACCTATGTATTTTTAAAATCAGTATTTCAAAGAGGATGATTTTTATACTGAAATTTACATAAGATTTCTGTACTTGTAGTTTAGCTTTGTATGGTAATGACATTTATCAGCAAGGTGCAAAATTGCTTTCATTAGCATTAATTTTAATGCTCTAGAAAATATGCTCAGCTGATGCATAGTTTAACAAGTGTTATGGAATAATGATGCATAGGAATGCCCTGTTTTGATGATCTGTGACTCAATAAAAATGCTGTGGATTATGATTTAAGAAAAAAAAACACTATTCATTTAGTGATGAACTGCTTTAACTTGTTGATGGGAGGAGTACATATATGCATGCACTGTCCACTGGGCTTATGTTTTATTGATTACGTTTAGACATATGATTCCACAAGCTCTTACTCACCAAGTCAAATTACTAGGCCTACCAGTTTACCCCATTCCTTGAATGATCACAGAGAAAAGTTTTTACCTTTATTGCTATTATTATTGTTGATAACATTATGATAAGAATGATAATGTTGGTAATAGCAATAAAGTTAGTAGAGGTAATGAAAGTAATAGAAATATTTTTTTCCCAAAAATTTCAATGGATGGGATAAACAGGTAAGATCAGGTAGGCTTTGTAAGTGACTCTTTGGTGACTTATGGAGCTATCTGTGTATAATTAAACTTAATGAAACAGAACCATAGTGGATAGTGTAAGTGCTTGCATCAACGGATTAAAGGAATGTATGTTATTTTTTGTATGCTCTTGCTCATCCACTGTAAAAAAAAAAAAAAAAAAAAAAAATCAGCATATTATTGTTCTTCTTTTAGTTGTTTTCCAGTTATAGAATTGATATAAGATTCAATATTTTTTTTGAGATTTTTGATATCATTAGATTGATGTCTTTAGTTTTTTCTTTGCATGCCTTTGCTTTCTGCTGAAAGGCTGATTATGTTTGATTCATTGCTCTGTCTTTTAAACTGACAGGAAAGCTTTTTATATATTTGTTTTTGATCATGCTTTTGGTTTTAATTTTGTGTGTGTATTTCTTGTTATATTTTTTTCAGATTTTATTTTCTGAAAATCTTTGATTCATTTGATGTTTGCACAGGTTTCATTACTGATTAAAGTCAGCATCACAGCACATATTTTAGCTATGTGAAGAAGATTGTTTTCACAGGTCATGCTGTGCATCATATATGTAGCCTTCAAGTAAATCTGCCTAAAATGAAATCACTCAGCTTTGCACAGTAATTAGTGCCTCCTTTTGCCAGTCTGAAGAAAATATAGGTGAACTTAGATTGTTAGGAAAACAGCAGTAGAGAAAGTCTCAAGTTAGTGGACAAGTTTAGAAAAAGTAGAGAAGAATTTTTGATGTCGATTTAAAGAGGAAATCAGCATCAAAATGCCAACTCAAGGGACTCATTCCCACCAAGGAACTCACCCTCCACAATTTCTGGCCCCCCAAACCAGGTGAGTATGCTGGTACACAGGGTCTGGGCCTCCTACGCCTCCATTCAACCTACCGCCATGACCTTAAGATCTACGCCAGCGATGAGGGGCGGGTCCAGATGACAGCAGCAGCTTTTGCTAAGGGACTTTTGGCACTGGAAGGGGAGCTCACACCAATACTCGTGCAGATGGTCAAGAGTGCCAACACCAATGGGCTCCTGGACAATGATTGTGACTCGTACAAACACCAGAACATGTGTGTGATGCATCTTGAGTTTATTTGTGTCTCTTTGTTTTTAGTTTTTGTAATTTAATGCTGTTCATATTGTGTATACATGGATGTTAATATTGTCCATGATTTAGGTCAACATAAACAAGGTGATATATCATTATATTGATTTATCCAAATAAACCTGTTGTAAAAAAGGAAACCAACCATTGCTTACTGGAAAAAGGAAACATAAAACACTAATTTCTTTGTATTAGTAGTTTTTATATACCTGTGCATAATGTATACTCAAGTAAACTATCTTCATAGATGAAAAAATATGAAGAACTTATATGAGTACTGGATGTTTTAAAAGAATCAAAGAGTATACAAAGATATGAGCTTGATGGAGATAATAGGTCCTAAGAGTAAGCTTAACTATGAAAATCATTATACATTTTTAGGGTGAAGAACCGTCTCCATGAGGCCATGCAGCAGGACCACGACCTCACACAAGAAGACATGGAGAAGCTCAATCCTACTAACTCCAGGTCCATCTCGACAGCACTTGAGTTCATCCAGAACCCAGTCAGGATGTGTGAACATGTTTATGGACTCATCAAGAAGCTCAATGAAAGGATTAAGATTAGAAAGGAAGATCAAAAGACAAAGGGTAAGTGATCTAATTATTTATCCTTTATTTTTTTTCATGTTATTGTTGTAAGAAGGGGGTAAGCAGTTTTTAATTTTTCATGTCAAGTTATTCTTACCTTTTTCTTTTTTACTCCTCTTTTTTCCCTTTTATCTCTTCAGTTATCTATATTACTTCTACTTATGGAATGATTTGATCTTTGTCCCATAAGATATTACAGATTCCAGACTAGTACAAATCTTTGACTTCCCAGACTTGCCCCTGTACCATGGTGAATCTTGGGAATTGATGCAGCGCAGATGGGCCAAGCTTGAGAAGGATTTCAGAACCAAGAACCGGAATTTTGACATTTCCAAGATCCCTGACATTTACGACTGCATCAAATATGACCTCCAGCACAATCACCATACACTGCAGTTTGAGTATGCAGAAGAGCTTTACAAATGTGCAAAATACTTGGCTGATGTTGTGATTCCTCAGGTAGGTTTGTGTTAGGTGTCTCAAAATTCTTATTTCTATTTGTTATTATTATTTTTTTTTTACTACAGTCCTTTTTAATAGATAAATTTTTAAATGCATTTGAACTTGTTATTGCTCATAATGTGATGATCCTAGTGCTACCTAGAATGGCATTTATTCCCATTATTTCCCACATAACTGCACATTTATCACATTTGTAAAATGAGATGTTATACCTTCCAGGAATATGGCATGACCCAACAAGAGAAACTAGCCATCGGTCAAGGCATTTGCACTCCTCTTTTGAAAAAGATCCGAGCTGACTTACAAAGGAATGTTGGAGAAGAGGAGAGTGAGGAGAATCAAGGGGAAAGCATCAACCGGTTAAATCCAATGTAAGCTCTGGATGATTTACTGTTTCCAGGAGTGAGGTTGACGGATTTTTAATTTTTGATTATTGTTATCTATTTTCCGTACCTATTAATTTTCATTTTTTTTTTTGTTTCACTTTTTGTATTTCATCTTTATACTGCCAATATTCTCCATTTGCTAATTAAATTTTTTCTTTTCATGATATCATTTGCTAATTTCTAATATCAACTTATCGTCCCAGATATTCCCATGGGGTCAGCAGTCCAGGACGCCATGTTCGCACAAGGCTTTACTTCACCAGCGAGAGCCACATCCACTCACTTTTGACCGTTCTTAGATTTGGAGGATTAATAGATGTGAGGATTTTTTGTTGCTGAACTTTTATTTCAAAAATGCATTCATTTAGAGATGAACTGCCAAATGTGCTATTTTCTCTGTCTTAAATGCTATAGGTTAAAATAGTGTTGGGATTTATTGAAGGGGCTGCCATGCAGCTCATTTTTTTTTTTGCTTTTTGGATATGTAAGTGTTGGATGCTTAAACCATTGGATCTGGGTGCTTCACTGCCTGCACATGGCCCAAAACATATATGCATACATGTACATATTCATATTCATATTCATATTCCTTTTTATATATGTGTATATATATATATATATATATATATATATATATATATATATATATATATATATATATATATATATATATATATATATATATAATATATATATATATTATATATATATGTATATATATATATATATATATATATATATATATATATATATATATATATATATATATATATATATGTATATATGTATATATATGTATATACATATATATATCCATATACATATACATATACATACACATACACATATACATACACATACATACATATACATACATACATACATATATATACACACACACACACACACACACATACACACACACCACGCACATGCACACGCATACAGATGGGCGTGCCCCCCCCACACACACACACACACAAACACCCACACAAACACACGCACACGCACACACACCACTATTACTAAAAAAAAAAAATTACCCTCAGACCATGAAAGACGAACAATGGCACCGTGCTATGGACTATGTAGGTGCTGTATCAGAGCTGAATTACCTCAGCCAGATTGTCATAATGCTGTATGAAGACCCAACCAAGGACCCAACTTCAGGTGACAGGTGAGCGATGCTGTCAGTCAGGTTTGTCTTGGCCTTTCGTCTGTTTTTTTTATCTATTAGATATGCCTGTGCATTTTGGAGTTGTTGTTTTTTGTGGCTGTAGTTAGATTTTTAAGCCTATTTTTCTCTCCTTTTAAGTTTTTGTGCTTTTTGTGTAATGTAGATGGTAATTTCTCTCAGTTAAACAAAAACAAATAAATAAAAAAGCAAAAGATGTTTTTTGAAAATAAGCCCTTTGCAATGAACCAAGTCTCAATATTTGTTCATTGTTCATGTTTTCCTTTCTGTATAAAAAAATCAAAGTTCTTAGGAAAGAAGAAGAACAAGATGTATAATGTGCACAGAGTTTGTTCATTTTTTAATAATACTGTTCCAGATATTCCAGGTTTCCTCATTGCAAGATCAGTCTGTATCTCAAAGAAAGAGAAAATTGGCATACTAAAAGAGAAAGATTTAAAG